AAATCATGTTTTTTTTGTTTTTAATTGGATACGCAGTACCTGAAAATCAGCTCTGAATTGTAACATACAAAACTCAATAAAACAAAGATATTATTTAATTTCAAATGCTTTTATTTGCTTTTAGTTGTTTTTATGAATATGGACAATATTTTCTGAAAGCAAAAAAATTTTTCGATGAAAAATGAATTTTTAATACAATTATTTGTTATTTCATTAATTATAATAGATTTTACATTTAAGTTGTTAAAATATTATAAAATTAGTTAAAAGCCGCATCGGCTTTCATAAGTGTCCTTATGAGATAGATCTTTTTTTTTAGCGCGTTGTAAATTGTATCATTTTGACTAATCAGAAGATCCCCAGTAATTAAGAAATGTAATTTTGTGCTTATAATCGAGCTGTAATTATAAAATACGGAAGACCAACCAGAATATAATTAAGTTGCGTTATTTGAGTTAAGCATTGTTCTCCGCTGTTAAGGCCTTTACTTTTTTGCGAAACACGTGTGGAGAAGTTAATTTGATTTTTCAATTTCAACTGAGAAGGGTACCTACAAGTATCAGTATCATCTTATGAAATTTATATGATCTTATTTTTATATTAATCTCAGTTACGACATTTTTCCATAAATGAAATATCAAAATTAATAATAAAATGAATGCAAATACAAATAACAGTAGAATGTAATAAATGTACATAAAATTATAGTATTTTATGTACAATTCTGATAAAATTTCATAAGAAAGGTACCTATAAATTAATTAGATACCTTTCTTAAGAAATATGAAATTTAATGTCACTCTTAACAGTTTTATTTTAATTTCTTTACAATATATTTCCCATAAAGCATCATAAACGTAAAGGTGAAAGCTAAGTAAAAAAAAAAAAAAAAATTAGACCGCTGAAAGTTTTCGTTAAAATAACGGGGTAAATAATTTGTTCACGTAAATGTAAATTATTTCACTTTTCTCCTTCCGTAGAACAAATTTGCCTCATGGAATTCGTAAATATATCATTCATCACATGTCAAGAGACGCGAAAGTTTATGACCTGCTTTGTTTTATTTTCAAATTACATCTTTTTGGCACAAAAAAGCTAAGTTAAGTTTGTTTCAAAATATTTTAAATAAACATTATAATTTCTGATTTTCTTAAAATAAGTTTTGAAAAAATGATAATTGATATTTAAAAAAATTTCAAAGTCAGATTTCCAGTTTTTTTAAAATGGAAAAAAATGGTCAATTTTGCTGACTCAAAAAAAAACTAGATTTTTAACGAAAATTTCGGACGTGCTAGGAACATTAAAAAATGGAAAAAAAATACCCCAAAAATACTTTGACCTTTCCTCTTAATAATAACAAACATTTAGACGATAAAATTTTGTTTTCGTCAAGTTTGGCGTCTTTTTCATCATGCTATGCTCTTTTTTTTTAGCGATCTCGTTTTTTTTTTTTTTTTCTTGCCCACAAAGCTAAATTATATATTAGATCTAAAAGGGGGCTATTTATTTTTTTTGTTTAAAGGAGGAAATCAAATAATTTAACATAACCTTTTGATTTTTAGTTTCTCAAAAAAAAAAAAAAAGTAGTGCTTTCACATTTTTTATTTTTTAATTTGACAACAAATTTGTCTCCTTTTATAACAAGATATGTACAAAGTTTTGTGGTAGACTTTTGTCTGGCATGATTTACAAGGGTTTTACTGAGTTGGGCCAAATTCAAAATGGCAGATTGTGCATCTGCCACTGTATGCTAACATTTACATATCACCCAATATGGTCAAGTTGTATATCTTTAGAAAGCTCTTTGAATGCTGATTAATATTAACACAAGACCTATGATCATAAAATCAACAGAATTTGTGTTATTTGTGGTTAGATGTTGACCAATTTGGTGGAAAATAACTATGACTTCAATGTTTATCAAAGAATTTTTCTCAGAACAAAATTTTTATTGTTCTTTTTCAATGAAACCATGCTTTTTTTAAGATTACGCAAAAAGTTTCAATAAATTCTTCTATATAATTGAAGTTGAGTAAAAACGTTCCGTAGAATTAACTTCTACAATTCAGTGGATCACAGCTAATTTCCATAATGCTGTTATTTAACAATGTCCTGATTGGACAAAAAATATTAAAACTGTAAATCTTGCAAATGATAAAAATCAATGTAGTTTTGTAGGTTTACAATAGTTGATGTTTTAATTGGTCAAAATTAATACCAATATCACATTTTCAGTCTATGTGTTAAATTAATTAGAATTTAAAAGGTTGACCTGGAGTTGACCTGTTCAAACTTAACCAGATTTTGGCACAAAATTATGTGTTCACAAGCCTCCCACGTGATCAAGAATACTCATAAATATGAAACTTCAACACAACTTATAGACTCCTTAAAATAATCAATTCATCACTCGAATCTATGAAACCCAACTTCCTCGCTAAAAGTTAATTTTTATTAACATCATATCTGTGTTTGAAATTCAATTCCTTCATTGACTTCAACAACTTTGACAGCTCGATTCAGAAATCTAAGAAACCCAAGTTCCTGGCTGAAAGTTAAATTTATTATATCAGAACAGCTTGGTAAATTCAACTGACATCAACTCAAGTGACAAATTCAAGACGAGATTCATGAAGACACTCCCAACATCTTAACGACATAAAAGGAAAAAAAAACGGATATTTTGAAAAAAAGACAATTCTACAGTAAGTTGAGCAAACTATTTCAATCACTTTCACCATCAACACAAACTGTTTAATTTCTTACCAAACCTATAAATACATGTTCAAATTTGATGTTTATACACACAATTTCTGAATACCAGGTCTATAAAATAACTTTCAATATTACTTTAGGTCACACAACCTGGAACTCCTAAAGTGTTTTGAACAACTCCATTATATCATTTGTACTTATGTTATATAAAAATATCTATTGTTATGATTTTTCTTGATCACGTGGGAGGCTCATGAACACATAACCAGATTTTGGCAGAAAATTAAGTTTGAACAGGTCAATTTGAGGTCAACCTTGTGGACTTAGGCGGAAACATGATATTGGTATTAATGGGTCAATCAAAATGTCAGCTACTGTCAACCTAACTTGGTGCCTACAAGTGTTTAGCTTGTACAAGACTTACAGTTTTAATATTTATTGTCCAATCAGGACATTAAATAACAGCATTATGGAAATTAGCTGTGATCCACTGAATTGTAGAAGTTGGGTTCTAGAGTTCTATCAGCTGAAAGCCACTGTTTGTAGTGTAACGCTACACCCACTCAACTTGATTTGAATTTGTTTTGTTTTATATTTGCTCATTGGATAATTTGTCTCAATCCCTCCCCTATAGTAGTTAAACAGTTTTCTTTTTTTTATTGTTAATTATAGATATGTTTGTAAATAATTGTTTTATTAAATTGAATACCCTTGTCTTGTGTTTGCTTATTGTGGGTCTCATTGCATAGTTTGGGGGTCTCTGCGTATGCACTGAGAAAGAAGATCCACTTAGGTGAATTTCAGTTTACACATGTTACTATATTGTGACACTAGATAAAATCATGTATTAAATTTTTTTTAGAATGTCTTCTATATATAAAACAAGATCCTCCATCAAATTGCTACAAAGATGAGCAGCCAGCCAAGTAGCAGTTGCTTCATTGCATGTCAGCAGCTATGCATTGGTGGTAATCTGTTAAATGATATTGTTCATCTTAAGTCAGTGTACCAAGATGAGCCCCCATAATCATCATTCATATTTTGATGTATTATACAAACACAGTGTGTTCCAGCAACTTTTGGTCCAAACTCAGCAAATTTTGAAAAAATAATTCTATTTGGATTTTTTTAATTTAAATAATTATGTCTCTTTCAGGTTACAGAGTACAAGATACTTTTGTTCCTGAACACTTCTACCATTCTTTAAGACTGTCTTATAGTCATTTTTTCAGGCATCACTCTGCTGACTTTTTCACTATTATAAAACAACATAACTACATCAGTGAAATAATGCATGAATATGACAGAAGAATTGTTTTGCAAGCATTTTTTTTTTTCCTTCAATTATGGTGTATACTAACCCTACTCTGTAAATGCTATATTAATAACTGTAGGGAAGGATTGATTAGCTGAAATAATTTGCTCATTGTAAAGTACCACAGATGATAAGCATCTGTTTATGAGTTGGATACTGAGTCTTGGTGTTTTTTCTGTTGGCTGGCAATGTGATGTAACCATTTTTGATGTGAACAATAAAGAAAAATTTATGTGAATTTGAAATAATTATCCAAACCTTTAAATACTGCCTCTATCACTTTGCTATATTTTGTTTTAGCTATTTTACACATTGGTTTGTTTACATTTTGGATACAAAATCAAGCACATATTGGCTTTCAAGAAAATCTGAACAAGGGAATGTGCATTCCTTAAAAAAAGTGTAAATAGAACATTGCTGGGTTGTATCTCTCTCTCTCTTTCTCTCTGGTCTAAATCACTGTTTTTCTTATGAAGTGCATGGTTTGGTATACATGGATTTTTTTTTTTTTTTTTTTTTTTAAGAAAAAGGGACATCTATTCAAGCACGGGTATCTACTAAAAATAATGTTTGAAATGATGAAAAAAAAATATTAGATTAAAAATAAATCTAGTAATTTAGAAATTGCCTTATATATATTTGAAATCTACCCTGGCCACTCTGTATTCAAGTTCGATCCTCTCAGCTGATCGTATAGTTGACCACTTCAGCCCAAGTCTTGTTTCACCCTACATTGTCAATTGATCGCAAGACTGGCCTGGTCTGACTGGAATCGCTAACTGGGTTTGGTCCAATCAGAGTAAAGTCACATGAAAGAAGAAAGAAAAAAAAGTAGATGAATTGGATAAAAGAAAAAAACATATGCAAATCTCTGATACAAAGTTGATGGTACAGTTATTGATGGCTTAAGCAGACCTATACTCTCTATGCAATCACTATCAATTCTTCCCGATTATTGTGACACACTGTTATGATTTTGGAACAAGGCTTTAAGTTGGAGGCTTTTTCTTTGTGGTGGCAAATCACATCATACGAAGCAGTGGTACTCATCTCTCGTATCGTATCCAGTCTCTCCCGTCCTGGGTAAGACGATAAACTACATCCAACAGCAAGGCCTCTCTGATCAGGAGGTTTTGAGGAGCATGGAACCACTGCTTAATTGCTGGTGTTCCCAGGTCCACCCTAACCCGGAGTGGTAGCACCTGTTAGGGTCCCAGTTATGGGTAAATAGTTAACCCCCAAATTGGGTTCAAAACACTATAAAAATGTAAAAATAGGTTTTAATACCAGAATACTTTGTAAAAAATTATTACCAGCAATACAACATTTGAAAAAAATATTACCAGAAATAAAAATTTTGTTGGCGTTAAATAATCCATTGAGGTTGATATGCTGTAAAACAAACCAAACCACAGTCTCTCTCTGCCATAGTGTCTCGGCATTTTGTTTCTATGGACCCCTGCTCAAGGGATGGTGTGGGGCATGATGTGCAATGGGAATGCCCATGTTCCCCAAACAACCAATTGGGACTCTCCCTGCAAATGTCTAAATATAGGGGAGTCCCTCCTCCCTCCTTGGAATTCTACCTGGGCCTTCTCCTTCCATCACTGCCTGAGAGGCATGGAAAATCCTCTACCTTCCCTGAAAATCTAATTGGGCCCTCTGCTCCTTAGTCACCTGATCAAACGCATCCCTCAAGGGCTAGGCATGGTCTAGCCCAAATGGCCAAATTTTAATTATTGTTCAAAATTCTTTCTTATGCTTTTGTGTATGGTTGTTTTCACACCAGATTTATCATTTCCACCATTTCAGATACAAAATCATGCAAGGTTCTATATAGAACAAAGTAAAGAGGAAGGACACTGAGAAAGAACTTCCAAAAGTTATTGGTGAATCAGCAACAGATAACTACTAATATAATTTTCTTGGTGTGTACTACTGTAATAAAACTAGAAATTCTGATATATTTTGCACTGATGTAGAGTTTGTGTGTTTTGGTTTTTGGGACAGGAAATGTTATATAAACTATAATATTGAAGCTTTAAGCATTGAAAAATAGACTTTTAAATGCATGTCATGATTTCTTAGCTTTTAAATCCACAGCATTTGGAAACAGTTGCAATTCAATACAAATTCATATGGTAGTCTTAGTGAAACCAGGAAAAAAAAACTACAATTTTTTTAAGGAATGATTTCCTTTTTAAGAATAGAATTAGTGAATCCTAGTCAAATAATTATATTAGTTTTGTAGACAGTACATAAAGCTTGACAACTTTATCTCCATAAACAATTATTTTTTATTTTTAATACTTATTAAAAAAAAAAAAAAATTATAAACAGGATTGTATTTGCTAAAATGTATTCTTGCAAATTGTCAATTGAGATTTGATTCATTTTTATTTTTATGCTTCTCACCTCACTTTTCCAAATTTTTTTTTCACTTGTGATCATTTTGAATCTTTTCAGAATTTCAGAGGTTTGTGCATAGTGTGCACAAGGCTTACTCCCACTGGTTTCAAACGGAAAAGGATATTTTAAAATTACGAGAAGATCTAAGAAAATGTCAGCAGGAAAAGGCAACACTAGAGATTGAGCTTAAACATGCAAGGTAAGTTTTTTGTTTTTGTTCTTCAAACCTGGCATAGATAGGGAAAGCAACAAAATCAAAATTAACTTTACTTTTAATAAACTGCTTTGTGCAATTTTGTTTTTTTATTTTACCTGGACTTATGAATATGGGAAAACCACATCAAAAAAAGCAGATTTGCTTGACATTACCAAAGTACAAAAACTTTTTACTAGATTTTGACCACAATCCAATCAAAATGTGACACCAAGCCGTCAGCCCTTGATCAACTCCCAGTCGCGGCGCGAAGCTGTAAGGTTTCTTCTACCAGCGTTTTGGGGTTGGCTCTTTGTCACTGTCACCAGCCTGTGCCCTGGTCGTTCAGTGGTCATCGCTACTCGGTGAAATACCTGGTCAGGATACCAATATGTGACACTCGGCCGTCCAGGGTCGAGTTCTGGTCGTCGATGTTAACGGCTTCACCAGTTGTACCAGTTCAATGCCAACTCTATTGTTCACAGCTCACTTGCAACGTCTGGTTACTTGATCTCAAGTCTAACCTACCCACGTTGTGACTTTGATCTTGGGTAGATGAGATCAATCAGGCATCGGGCCGTAGTGTCAGCTGAGTCCAAATTGAAGGTGGCGTTGCACAAGTGCAAAGAAAGAAAATAATGAAAAAACCCAAGAGGTCTCCAAGTATGTTTAAGAAATAACAATTCAACTTTATTCTTCCGTTGTATACAGGAGTGTGTTTTTCTCCCAGACCGTTTCCTACAAAATGTGACACTTCTATGTTTCAAGCAAGTTGATATCGTAAGTCAACTAATTTAGTTTTTAAGTGCTGGCTCAACTTCGTTCGTCAGTATAACTTGTTATTGGTAGAATCGGCGAATTTAGAGGTCATAGAATCTCTTGGTCAGCTTCTGCGAGGCAACACCCTGGTTCAAAACCAACTCAACTGCAACTTCATCATGGAATCCCTGACCTGTTAAGAAACCAAATTATTTTATCTCGTCAAATCTCAATTCTCCATTATTTTCTGGGGACTGCCAAGAGTTTACGATTGCCACGTTGCCATTCGTTGTCTTAGCATCTGTTGGCAAAGTAAATGATAACAATCCTATATCAAGACAATGCCAAAATTTTATAATTGCCACATTGCTTCTCTTTGCCTGTATCCAAGAAAAGAAATTAAACGATATCTTGGAAAGATAATTAGCATTGAATCTTCCTGCCTGTATCGGCACATGTTTTGGCCAATAATTCCATAATTGCCTTTCTTTCTATCTCCCTCAGTGATAACTCGACAGGACAAGACCTCACACGTGGCTTCTTCTGTGGGCTATTTTTGTAAACAAATTAAAATCTTTTAACGTTGATCAGTCTATCTTTCGTTGTAGCTCTTTTTTTTTTTTTTGCTTTAAGAATGTCTATTTTTTGTTTTAAATTCTATGGTTAATTAGTTAGCCAATTACCATAGCTAAATAGTGTCACAATGTTAAATCTGCTAATTCTCAGATTGAACTGGGTTATTTTAATTCTTTTAAAATATATTTAATTTATTCTATTATAAATTGTCTTTGAATATTCAAAAACCTGTCTGCAGAAATTTTCTCTGGTTTGTTGAGTGTACTCATAAGATTTTTGAAAAATATATATTGAAACAAATAGTAATGAAATTTTTTTTTTTTTTCTTTCTTTACCTGGTCAAAGTTATGAGGTAATTGATAAAACATGATTGATACTAAAACTTCTGTTTGTGTGTTTCATAAACTTTCAAAGGAAAGGTTAGTTATTCATGGGGACATTTTATGTCCATCCCAAAGGCTGTCTAGAATTTTATTGTAGGTTATAAAGGCTAAGGATGTGCATGTAGTATGATGGTTATCTGCATAGTGTCTAATCAGAGGTGAGCAGAGTTCAAATTTCAGCTTCATCTTCAGTTTTGCACTAATGCATTTGAAGAGCATTGTACTGTCTCTTCTCCACTCCTAGCTATAGGCTAGATAACAGGGTAGACTGGGCTCTCTAACATTGGGTGGTACCCACTTTAGGAGAAGGATAACTGAATTTAAAACTGTTGAGACAACAGGAAACTACTCCATTATCTTTCTCAATAAGTCATGGCAATTCACAGAAAAAAGGAATCTGTGGGGAACTGTGATTTCCTATGTACCAGAGGAACATTGTAAAAAATAAAGCCCAAATTAGAGCATCTGCAATAAAAAAGGGTTTATGTTCTGAAACCTACAAGTCTGAAATTTCTAAATAAAAACAAAAAACTTGGAAGCTGGTGCAATGCACTTGAATTAAAAGCATTACAGGTATATATTAAAAAATGAGTTTTTCTCTTTGTGTGTGTTCAACGCTTTTTCTTTTCTTTTTTTCTTCAATTTAAGCATAAAATGTTAAATTTAAATCAGTTTTGTAATGTAAACAGATTTATCTCATTTGCATAAAGATTTACATAACAATTCTTGCATAATACAAGTATTGAATTTTGACATGGAAAACAGGTATAATAAAAATTATAGTCTTTTACAAAAAAGACTATAATTTTTATTATACCTGTTTTCCATGTCAAAATTCAATACCACTTTGATATAACTTTGTGTTCTGTAATCAGTTATATGTCCCACCATTTTAGTTTCTGTGTTGCCAGTGTTTCTTCAAATTAAAAAATAAATCTGCATTCATTTATAAACTTTTCTCAGCAAAAGTTTCATATTCAAAACTTGAAACTGAAACTCCTTTGCAAAATATATTTTGACTTTATTAAAGTCACAATCATAGTCATTGTAAATTCTATGATGCTTTCATTAGCTGCATAGTATGTGCATCGCCAGGACTACACATATTGAACATGGCGTAGCAGGTCTTAACTGTGAGGGCTAGAGTTAGGGGAAAACTAAGGAATGTAACTCTTGAGTATTTTCCAATAGAAATAGTAGTGAGAGACTTGCAACATTTCATCTATGGGAAGGGGTTGAACTTTGGAGGTGCATCCATATACTGTTGTATGCTCTGCATAGATATTCACTAAAGATCAGAGTATGTGCTTTAGGCAGATCATTAATAGAAAGAAGCATGTCTTGGGGTATACCTGAATTGACCTGCTGGGCTTCAGCCCTTACTGATTCTGTAAGTGTTATACAGGAATAAGGTGTTGCTGCTGACACTTGAGTTTGAACATAGATCACCAGTGAGCAAACACAAGCAATTCCATTATTGAATTATAGAGGAAACACATAAGTAGGAAGTTGTATGACATCTGATTGATCTGCATTTCTATTCTGTCCTCTATTACTATACAGATCGCTATTCACTATATTATTTCTCTATTCAGATTATTATTTGAGTGAGTATTGTCGAGCAAGTACTATTAGTGCGAGTGCTATTCAAAGGCATCTGACACCAGGCATTGTTCAACTGTGTTACTATAGTTGTATCTGTGATTATAAAGTCTCTGCTACAGTGAGCATTATGAAAGTGACAACTAGTATTCATTGACATCACAAGGATTCCTTGAACTTACATGAGGATCTGTTCAGCAGTTCAGTAAAATGGAAGAACTAAAAGCTATCATGGTTCAAATGTTAGTACAAAAGCAACAACAAAGACAATAGTTGGCATGACAAAAATTACAAGAACACTATTTGCAACCACAAACTGAACAGCAATTACAATTAAAAATACGACAACTGAAGTTTTTTGAGTTATTTACCAAAGCCATGAAGGAAAAACTTCAGTCATTCACACCAGATGCTGTTGCTAATTCAATCAGTGAATTTGTATACAATCCAAATTAAGGGATAACTTTCCAGCTTATAGAAGATATGAAGGAATCTTCAAAAAGGATTGTTTGCATTGGGATGATGAAAAGAAAGTTTGGTTATTAAGGAAATTGTTCCCTGTGGAGCATGAAAAATATGTGAATTTGCTGAAAAAAAAAAAACAGATAAATTTTGATGAAACTGTTCTAATACTATCAAAAAAAAATTTTGTTGATAGCTCATTTTTTTAATGCACAATGACAATGTCTTAGTAAAGCCCAACGATGAAGATTTTGTCACTTATGCAGGAGTTGTGAATCGAGAATGTGAGACATTCAAGTTAAATGAATTAACTCTGGATTTATTTAAGTGCCTGATATTTAATTTGGTTTAATTTCTAATAAGGATGCAGAGATAAGATCCAGGATACTTGCTGTATTAGAAAGGGATTCAAAATTAAATCTCCAGAAAATAGCAGAAGAATGTCAACATATTGTGAATACCACAAGGATTAAGGAAAAAGACAATTCGCAAGTACATAGTGATCAACCATCTAAGAGAAAACTACAAACGTTTTTCAAATCCTAACAGAACAGAAAAAAGGATGCCCAATCTAATACTTGTCATGGTTGTGGAGGTAAGCATTTTAAAAGTGATTGCTTTTTCAAGAACAAAAAATGTTATGACTGTGGGAGATTATGACACAAAAGTATGTGTTGCAGATACTAAAAATGGAGAAAAAAACGTATATGAACACGATAAATGCATGGAGTAACAATATTAAACCTAAAAGAGAAATTAACAAGACATCTCAAAAAAAGGAAATTTGATTTTGTGCAAATTAATGATGTAAAAAATAAAATTGTAACTGGGTACAGGATCTGATATCACTATCATAAATGAACAGACATGGAGAAAAATGGATAAACCCAGTTTATTGACTTCTGATAAAGTTGTGTATGGAGTCTCAGGAAAGAGATTGAACTTTTTGGGTGAATTCAGCTGTAATATTTCTTTTGTGGGGGAAAACCAAAAAAGAAGTGGGGGTTTGTATTAAAGAATACTGCTAATTTGTTTGAAACAGACTGGATTGCATTATTTGATCTTTGGGATCTTTTAGTTAACTCTCTTTGCAGCAAGATAAATGTTGTTACGACCAGTACTAATATGGCAAATAAAAAAATGAACTGAAAAAGTTTTCTCAGAGGTCTAGGGGCAAGCCAGAAAGCAAAAGCTAAGTTTGAGTTAAAAGAGAATGTAACACCAACATTTAATCCAAAAAGGAGTGTACCTTTTGCAGCCTTAGATCCAATTAATAATGAATGGGATGGACTAGAAAAGTTAGGTGTGTTCTCAAAAAAAGATTATTCCGAATGGGCATCACCAACAGTCTTTGTTTTAAAAAAAAAAAAAAAATACTAATAAAATCTGCATATGTGCTGATTTTTCAACAGTGTTAAATGAAAGTTTAAAACAACTACCTGTTATTAAGTCCAGAGTAAATTTTTACCAAATTAGATGGAGGTAATTTTTTTTTTTTTTTTTTAAATGGCCGTCAGACACTTATCTACAAGTAGAGAAAGAGTGCTCAAAACTATTAACAATTAACACTCATAGAGGGTTATACAAATTCAACCGCCTTCCTTTCAGTATAAAGGTAGCACTAAGCATATTCCAACAGATAATGGATAGCATGATTGATGGTTTGCATTGTGTTCAAGCATATTTGAATGACATGCTTACTAAAAGCAAGACCCGAAAGCAACATGCAGAAGATGTGTAAAAGAAAAAAAAAGTATTTGAAAGAATCAAAAAATATGGTTTAAAGATTAGTAAAGGAAAATTCGAATTGTTTAGTGCAGAGTTAAGTATTTAGGACAAAATATTGATGAAAACTGCGGTAGATGACCCAATTCTTCAAGAGTGAGCACAATACTTTAACTGTAACTTTGTTGCACATGAGTGCAACAAAGTTACAGTTTTAGGCTTTGCTAATTACTATCATATAACCTAACCTGCTAAAGAAAGATGTGAAATGGGATTAGACAGATAAATGTCAAAGTGCTTTTGAGGCAATCTAAAAAGTCTTAACATCGGATTTGTCACTAGCTCATTTTGACCCTAAATTAAAGATTGTGGTTGCATCAGATTCAAGTGATCCAGGTATTGGAGCAGTGGTACTATAGAAATATGAGGACAAAACAACTAAACCAATAGCTCATGCTTCTTCAAGATCATTAATTGCAGCTGAAAAAAGCTACAACCAGGTAACATTGGCCATCATATTTGCTATGAAAAAGTTTCACGAATTTATACATGGTAGAGAATTCGTACTACAGACATACCATTGTCCATTATTGCCCGTATATGGATCAAAAAAGGGGTATTCCCAGACATACAGCAAATAGACTGCAGCGCTGAGGAATTATCCTATGGAACTAGAATTATAAAATGAAGTTTCTAACATCCAAAAAACTCTGTCATGCAGGCAGATTGTCTAGACTAATACCAAGATTCTGCGAACCACTTGAAGACAGTAATTGTGGTAATAAGGGCCAAAAATGAAATTAATAATGTATTATACAATACTGTAAGAGAACTACCCATAACATTGAAGGAAATAAGAGTTAAGTCAAAAAAGATGACTTTATAATGAAAATGAAGAAGCAATTGAGATTTAAAGGAAAACATTATTGGAATTAATGCATTTTCATTATGTGCTTATGTACGCAGAAAGAATTATGATACCAGAATCATTGCAGAAATGTATGCTAAAGGAATTTTACCTAGGACATCCAGGAATTTTCTAGAATGAAATCCTTAATGAGGTTTTATACCTAATGGCCAAAAAATGGATCAAGATATCAGAAATTTATTGAAATCATGCAAAGGTTGTGCTCTGGCAGCGAAGTCACTGCCTATCAAAATTCAACCTTGGCTGAAAACCAATATGCCATGGCCCAGAATACATATAGATTTCACAGGACCTGTAAAAAGAGCATAATATCTAGTGTTAGTTGATAGTTGAAATGGCCAGAAATATTAAAATGTAGAAGACCGACTAACGCGATAATGATAAATTTGCTACTCAAGCTGAAGAAATATAGACTCCAGGAGAAGTCATCTCAAAGAGGGAGTGTTATATAGGAATAAAGTGTCACTGCCAACACTTGAATTTGAACACAGATCATCAGTGAGCAAACACAGGTGATCCCATTATTGAATTAAGTAGACCACATGACCATAGGGGAAACTCCATAGTAGGAAGCTGCATGATGTCTGATTGATCTGAATTTCTATTACTATATGAATTGCTATTTCTATCCTATTCTATTTCTCCTTTAGGTTGAACAATTTTTCTAAGATTTGAAATAAGTATAGAGACTTCCCAAGATGTAAGTTTGTTCACCTTGAGGGTTGGTTGGGGGTTGTCACTCTTGTTATCTAATGTACAATTAGAGAGAAAAGAGCTTTGCCTTATCTGACTAGCATAAGATAAATTCAAAGCCATTTATGATAAATTGATGCTTTGAGAATTTGGTTAGAGATTTTCCAGAAATCATATGATCAAAGTTGTTTGCTTTCAACCTTGACTAGGATTAGCATTTTCAAGAACTCTCTTGCAATGATTACTGACAGTTCTGAATTCAGTAAGAGTCCTACACCATTCCCTGTGATATTATAGTAGTGATTATGGTAAGCAGCACATTCTGGAGTGAACCTCCAGCTGGCTGTTCAACTTTTGGTGATATTTGTGGGGAGTATAATCCTTTCCATGCCGGAAAGGATCCATCCAGAGATGAGGGCAGCAGTTCTGGAGGCTCTGTATTTGAAGACTGCTGAAAGAGGAGTTTCAGTCATGTAAGATCTGAAGTCATCCCAGTCAGCTTTGGTATATCAAAATACTGACCTGTGAAACAGCACATCAGGGGATACATTTTGACATCAACGTTAACACTGACCAGTAAATGGTATAAAGTGTCCAGTGGGAGGTAACACTTCAGCAGAGCATTTCTCAAGGCAAGATGTGAGGAAGAGGTCTTGGGGGTTTGTATGAAGTCCTGTTCTATCACGAACACAGATACTTACTTTAATTGAAAGGAAAATATTTCAGACTGACATTAAGATATACACAAAGCACCTGGAAAATTAAGAGAAGACTTTAAAGTACCTTTTGTGAACCTTTATAAAATTCATGTATTTAATTGGATTGTTATGTCATTTAATTTGGAAATACAGACACTGAATCTCACATGTTAATGTCATTGGTATGTGTTGATCTTGAAGCTAAATCCTTGCCCAAAATTAAAAGCTTCTGTGACTATTGGAGTAATGTAAATACTGCTACTAAATAACCCAAAGCTTAGTGCAGTAGTTGAACCATTTTTTACTTGCATTCCACCATTACACACAACTGAAATGGTTTTAACCACCAAAATGCAATTCTAATTAAGTCTAGACACAAACTGAACCAATTTCCAACCAAATATCAATGCTCATCAGCACACCCTTACCATTAATGTCAACCAACTCAATAAAAAACTAATTTATTTTTAATGTTTCTTATTGCCTATATTATTTAAATTTTTTTTATTTCAACAACTATAGCATTTAAAGTTCAAGTTGGATCCATCAAATTTGAGTTGGTACCAAACAATTTCAAGTTTGTACCACCCAGGTGGAAATGTAAATGTCCAAAAACAGTAATTCCCGACATGTCATCGGTTAAACACACCATATATGCATATTTATTAAATTAATCACAATCATGTGGTTTTCTTTTATGAATAAAATATTTCATTCTTCGCCCTTCTGCATCTGAAATGATTGTCATGGCAGCTGTTGGTAATCACCATGGTAATTAAAGTTCAGGCAACTGATTTGAAGAAGCAAATAAGAGTAGCATATGATACTAATGGAGACTAGCGAAGTCTTACAGTCTATGAATTAATAATTCACAGCATGCCGGTGGGAGATTACATATGATGAACCCAAAAAGCAACATGGTGGATTGCGTCATTCTAAAATTGGTGCTGAATACAAGGCTTTTATTGAAGAGTGTGTGGAGAACCCATGAATAACATTGAAGCAGATGGCAGCATTAATACAGCAGAGATTAAATGTTTGTGAGTTCTGAATGTGTTCGATAACATTTGAATGGACTATTATTCACACTCAAAAATAGTTCATAATTAACCAGAGAATGCAAATAGTGATATCAACAAAAACAAACATCGACAGAAGGAGCATGGTCATTTCTTAAGGCTGGTGTAAAATCCGAGGTCGCTTTGAAGCTTTCTTAAGTTCTTGCAAGCGAAGGACAGGGGGAAGCAACACAAACTGAATTTCTCGGTGCACAACTTGAGCAGGTGATTGCTAATAATATACCGCTAATAACCCTGCCTAAATGTACTGCTCTGCTGGCACATATTCAGCGTTTTATACAGCCAGTCTTGGTTCTTGAGGATATGAATTTTTGACTTGCATGAGTACATTGATATTCTGTAATTCATGAGTTAGTAACAATAAATATTTGCTAGCTCAGTTTTTTATGCCTCATTTGTTTTGTTGAAAGTTGTTTAGTCTCCATCTTGAAATTGTTTAGTTTCCATTTTGAAATGCTATAGTATAGGAAGAGAAAATGAAAAATATAATTATTTGTTGTTTACATATGCCTTTGGGGAATTGATGAGGGATTACAGATTCCATGCAGTGAGGTTGATAGTCTAAAATGTTTGAGCTCCCCTAGGTTAGAACCACAAATAAATACTGATCAACCCATCCAATTTAAATTACGATGAATTTATAATATTAATCTGATTCTATTTTTTTTATTAATACAAATAATTATAAATTTTACTATGTTTGTTTTATTCACTGATGAATTTTTCTTCTCCCTCTCACTTTTCATTATTTTTCCATTCGAAAATCCATTCATACAAGGGGTGCTGAAAAATTCCTAGCTCACCCAAGAGAGGGTTCCAAAATTCTGACATTTGGCTATTTAGATCTTGGAAAGTATGTTGGCCTGAGAATTTTTCTGCACTCCCAGGTAAGTGTGGGTATACATGCATGCATAACATATATATAAATTTTTAATTCAAACAAGTTAGATTGTTTTGAAATACTTTTTTCTTTTTTCTTCTTACCCTGTACTGCCACCACTATAGGAGCCAAATAAAACTGGAATTCCAAAAACGTACACAAGTAGAAAATGACAGAAATACTTTGGTAAGGTTTTATTTTTATTTCTAATTGTTATACTCCTTACTTGGGGGATCAGGGTGAGGTTCAGTTTTTCTAATCCTAGCAAATCTGAAACAAAATCTGTTTTTCATATCATTTTCAATAATGAATTAATCATTTAGTATATATATATATATATATATATATATATATATATATATATATATATATATATAGGGGAATAAATTTTTCATAATCATGAGATTGCAGGTGGGATCACGGAATCTGGGTTTTTAATGGAATTTTCAATAATAAGTTAATTTGATTTTTTTTTTTTTTTTTTCTTTAAATAACTGTCTCTCCAATTTTGTTAAACATTTTAATAAATTTGACATAGTTATTTCCTTAAAATTTGTTTTTACAAATCTTTGGAGTTTTTTTTTTTTTTTTCCTTATAAAAACGAAAAATAATTAAGAACGAGTGTTTACATAAAAAAAAAAGTGGGTTGTCGATTTTCTGAGAATATGTTGGCTAGACAATCTTTAAATATTTTATAACTAAGAAACTATGTTGCAAATGAGATGAGTCAGAAGGTCACAGCTTGGCCATGGCCACAGATCCATTGCTGAAGTCAAAATGGAAGACAGACATTAGTTGATATCAAAATTGGAGGGGAGAAAGAACAAACAAACCCTTTAAATGCTATTACGTGCCTACCATGCAATTTAGAAATTAAGAAAAACAATTCTTCAAAAACACCATTCTATAAAACAACTGGCTTGTCTAAGTTTAAGGTTACACAGCAATTCTCCCAGATTAATAATTGCATCATATTCAGTGCTTCACTATTGTAACAAATTGAACCAAAAAATCCTTTAATAATATTAACTATCATATAACTAAGTTGGACCTGCTTTAATGTGGCCAAATATCACTCATGAGCAAGAAGAGAGCCTTGGCCTTGCAGTAGATAGTATTCCTCTAACTTGCACCTAAATCAGAATTTTATAAATGAGGACTGCACTTGTTTAATTACAGCTTTGACAAACTTAGAAGGAACTAAATCTCCGCTTACATGTGTTGTATTTGACATGATGGAGGATGCAAAACAGTATTTGCATTCTGTTACATCAAAATCAAACTGATTGTCCTCTGTCTGAATTAGAAAACATGGAGAAGGAAAGAGTTATTTCAAAATTCCAAGATTTTTTGTCAGCATATTTTTCTTGAATCTGAATAAATACCTGGATACCCACCCTGTGTATAACTTTTACAAAGCAGCTCACCTGTTTGATCCTAGACAGCTACCCCATATAGGCCATGATTTAGACAGTTTTGTAACCATCAAGTACTTGCAATGTCCTTCTCCTGACCCTCTTGAAGAATTCCAAATGTATGTGAATTACCAAGATGATTTATTTACCAAATCCTTTTAATATACCATCATTTTGGAATACAAACAATAGCAGATTGCCAATAAGGTCATATAGTCAAGGTAGCGCATTAAAGTGCAATATTCATGAGCCGTTTTAATGCATTAAACTTACATGAAATAGATTGTAATGAATTTTTTCCTTTTCTATGCATCAAACTATGTAAGAATCAGTAATAAAATGAGTATGCAAAAATGAATCCAAATTTGCCAACTAGTGAATTAAAGGGTAAAGGATGCTGAACATTCATTTTCTCAGTGTAAATAATTACTCAGTAAACAAGATGAAAGTCTTAACCCTGAGAACACGAAGCAACTCACAATGTTGTGTTACAATGGAGATTTAGAGAAGAAATTTAAAGATTAGATATTTCCCAAATTAAGAAATTAGCAATTTTAAATTTGAGCAGTATTTCAACTTTGGATAAGTTGTTTTATTTAAAGTTTGAATTAATATGTCTAATTTGTTTTTTTGATATTTTGTTACAAAGATTCAGTTATTATGGTTTAATTACTGTTTTGTAAAATTTTAGTCGAAATGTTTGACTTTATTCAGATATTATTGAGATTCAAGTTATTTGCTGTTGATACTTTAAATGTAATTTTTATATTATGAATCAATTATAAATAAATACTAAAAAAAAAAAAAAACAATTTGAATGCGTTCTTAAAGAAGGAAGCTCTGATAAAAAGTTCTACCTCAACGATAATTAAGCACTAACATTCCATTGTTTTATTGTCTAGTCATGTTACATTCTTTTTTATTTTTACATATCATTTATTTTTGGATTTTAACATTTAAAAAAAAGATTTGTAGATATTTGCTATTTCTTTATATGCAATAAAACTTTGAATTATGTTTTTGTTTTCAGTTTTAATAATAATTATAGCATATTGTATTGCAATTTTCTCATAAAATACTATAAAAAAGGAAAAAATGAAATTTCCCAAAAGTATAAACAGAATTTACCAAAAGTGGAAACAGAATTGAGGAAAATTTGAAACGGAAAAATCGAGGACCCTATTAATACAGACATAAAGAGCATGACAAAACAAGAAACTGTCCAAATTTTATCTTGGTAGCTCAATTGGTGTTGACGTTATGACTATACACCTGCCTGTCCACAGCACCAATTAGGCCCATTTGCTTAATCAGAGCACACAATATACACACTCTTGCTAGCTGTGGTGGAAGTTTTCACCTCTTAGCACCAAGTGAAGAGTACATGTTACATGAAAGGGGTGTCTTTTGATCAGTTGAGATTTCTGCCTGTCAGTTGTTGTGTACCTGCTGAAATGCACTTCTTGAATTCTGTGTACAATTTGCCAAGCTTACTTGAAATGTGAACAAATTATGAACTGAAGAGCAAATAATTGCTGGTGTAACAATCACCAACAATTTAATAACATCAGCTGTCCATAAACGTTACAAATACTCTGTTAAACTTTCCACTAACATCAAGAAATGTATAATTGCTATATTAGACAAATGTCGTCTTGAGTTGTTAATTCTTTTGGGAACTATTTTCTCTACTGCATCCAGCTGTCTAAAGTTTAGAAACTTTTTCACATGTGACATGTTGCTCCATAGTCCATAACCCATTTCCCCTTTTCCTTATTAGTTAGTAATGTATTATTGTGTCCTCTTCTCTCTCTTTCTTTTACTTTTTTTCTTTTCACAATGATAACTTTGGTCCACTTTTGTTTTCATGACATAGCTTTGCATTCGGCACAACCACTTCCCTTTTCTTTAAACTTTGACTGCTTATACAACAGTTATCAGTCACCAATGGCCACTTAGACACATAATGACTAGCTTCAAGTTTTGTCACCAACATAAGAACCTGTTAGGCTAGCTAAAAGATGTAAAACTCGATCTCTCATCTCTTCAAATATTTCCATCGTTGCTTTAATATGTCTATTAACAAAATCGCCTTCTTTCTATTTAAATGAATATAATCTCCTCCGCAACACTTACTTGTTCGGCTGTGTTTTTCTTTTGAAATTGGTTTGCCAATTTTTTCTACACCATGACAGGATTGTTAGGGTCCCCAAATTAAATGACTGATGGCACAATCATTGCCAAGGCATGATCTTTCTACAATAAGTATTTTGGAGTTCAAGTACAATCTCTGTCCCACTATGAGTCTAGATCTGACAAGGTCATTTATATTTAAGAACATGACATTTTCAGATTAATATTTTGGTTTTGTGGCATCTTATGATGTTGGACAAAAATATTCCTTATATAACCTGTGTTCAATTTACTATACTAAATTGGTTTTAACTGATCCATACACTGAGGTATTTGAAGTGTTTAGAATTTATTAATTCCACATCCTGATTTTTATGACCTGTTCAGTGTATGTGCCATCACTTCCCGTTCCAATTCTGAATCATAGTCACCCCTTTGCCTACTTTTTGTGGCATTTGGTAAAGAATTTTTTTTATTTCAAAATCGTGTGATTCGACTGAAATAGATATAATTGTATTATGTGGTTCATCAATCTTGTTTGGAGTAAAAAAAAAAAAAAATTAGAGCTGTCTGTTTGAATTCTAGTTTATCACAAAAGATATTCTTTACATCATTATTTTTGAATTTTTGTATTACAAATGCAGAAGCAAGCTATTTTGTTGGTGGTTTTTAGTTTGGTTAGCAGAAGTCTGTAATTGTGTCAAGGCATGAATTATTATATACTCAAATCTTTAGCAAAGTTTCCTGAGCCAGGGATCTGAGATAAACTTTTTGGTTATTTTATCTGGTTATGCCAAGTTATGCGATGTTTCATGTATTTAGGATTTTCAAATAACAAAAATTTAATAGGAGTTCCCTGTTATCAAATGGGTTTATTAACAGTGTTCTGCTTAGCACATGTTTAAATCTTGTTGGAGAAGTATTCTCACATTGGCCAACATTTGTTAATATTACCCAGCTTACCATCTTCATCATGCCAAAACAGTTACTAGGTTAACTGCTGATGTATTAACGGTCATTGCTAGAAAAGTATCTATCGAGCTTTAAATAAGAATGATGAAGCTTGGGCTATTGCTTTGGATATCTTGAAGGTGTTTGACAGGGTTTTTTCATACTGGTCCTCTTCACAAGTTGAAATGTATTTCTGGATGAATTTTTGATCTGATTCAGTCTTTCATAAATTGCAAAGTGAAAGTTGTCTTTAACAGCCAACTCTTCTAGATCTAGATTTGCATTAATATTGGTGTTTTCCCATGGCCCTATCCTTGGGCCTACATTGTACATAATCTTCATCAACAACATTCCTGATGTCATCAGTTCTCAACTAAGTATCTATGCTAAGGACACAACTATATATTCCTGTCTTAAAAATAAGTTTGATCAGTTCAATCCTTATTGGCAGCTGATGATCTAAAAAAAAAAAAAAGAAGAAAAAAAAGGCCTACAATCTGTTAAGGGGAGCAAGAAATGGCTTGTTAATTTTAACACCTCCAAAACAAAACTGCTCTTTTTTTGACTGTATAAGAGATCCCGCCCCTTTTTTTCCTCTGCCATCAGCATGGCTTATGCTAACCTCCAGGAGAGTGACTTGTGTCTTCTTGGTCTAACATTTTGCTGGTATGAAGTGGAAAGATTGT